ATCAAATCCATGAGTAAATAATTTCACCAAAATTTAGTCACATGAATCGAAAAAAAGAATCAAATCCACGGAAGAATAATTCACTAAAATTTAGCCACATGAAACTAATAGATCATTATTTTGAATAGATCTTGAATGTTACCTTGACAGAAAAGAAAAATTCTTTTCTATAGCGTACATCAATTCTTGATTGTTACCTTGATTGCTCGTTTGTCTTGATGCCGCCGCCGTTCACTTAGAGGGTAGAGTACTCGTGCTGATAACGTGTTGTAATATAGATTGACAATATGTAAAATCTATGTGTAAAATAGACAAAGATAGAAACAGTAGAAGAAGAAGAGAATAAGAGAGAAGAGATACGCCGTAAAAACCATCATCTTATTCATCCACTTGAGCCCTATATATAAGGGAATATAATGTACATGAGTAAATACCTAATGGGCTCCTGGCCCATGCCTACAAATCCTATATCTAGGTAGTGTCCACAATTTAATATTTACAACAATAAAGAATATTTTTGAAGAAAATCGTCATGTACGCGAAAATATAAGAAATTTGTAAGCAACCTCCAGACTATATATTATCAACAAAATATATTCGTTTATATATACTTAGAAAGTATATATCTAAAAGTAGAAATTCTGATATATTGCGATCCAGACATATCTAGTTATTTATCTACAAAATAAATTTATTGGTAAATACCTTGATAAAAAAAATTAGGTATCTCTCATTTGCAGGGTATTTGTCGGCAATCTTTACTCATATTTGATACGAATATTTTGTCTAGCAATGTTTTTTTTTTTAGATTTATTGGTAATATGTGGTAGTATTTTTTATTTTTTTTTCAAAATATATAAATTTTTGTAAGTAATGTATTTCTATTTACCATTTTTTTTTCTGTGTGTGGGGAATATTTGTAACTATTTTAATATTTTCTTCAAATAAATTTCTTAACTTACGGGACATTGATGAATTTTATTTTCACAGACTAACTTATTCTGACGGAGTTAGTTTGAGACATCATCAAAGTCACGAGGTTATTTTCATGATTTCTATAAGCCACAAGGATAAATGTGTCAATTAACAAGACACACTAATATGATGCGTCGTTTTCGACAAGACACATTTAATTCAAAGGTAAAATTATTCTTATTTTGACCAATTTTAAAAGGTAATAATATGATTTTCGTCGTTTTCGACAA